AAAGAGATCATAAAAATCCAGGTGCATTGGCACACACCTGTGATCTCAGCAACTCAGGAGGTTCAGACTGGAGGATCAAAAGTTCAGGGCCTCAGAAACTTAGGGAGACCTTGTCTCAAAATAAAAAATAAATAAGAAAGGCTGAGAATATGACTCAAGGTAAAGTGTCCCTCGGTTTGATTTCCAGTATCAAAAAAGCCCCTAAAAGTGAGAGATCTTATTTGTACCAATAACTTATAACAAATATAATACATTAGAATTTAAGTATTCATAATACACTAAGGCAAAACTTTGTCATAAAACCAATAAGAAATAATAGAAAAGGAAAAAATATTAATAGCCACATTGAATACAGGCAAAGACTATGCATAGGCATTTACAAAAGAAGAGAATGAAATGTAATTTTGGTCGGTGGGATTGAACTCAGGGGCACTCGACCACTGAGCCACATCCCCAGGCCTATTGTGTATTTAATTTAGAAACAGTGTCTCACTGAGTTACGTAGGACCTCACGGTTGCTGAGGCTGGCTTTGAACTCGTGATCTTCCTGAATCAGCCTCCTGAGCCACTGAGATTACAGGTGTGCACCACCGGCCCGGGCTGGAATGCAATTTTAATATCACAATGTGGTATCATTTTTGCTTATTATTTGGGGAAATTAAAAATATGTTATATCAGTGGCAAGGATCAGGGAAATGACTGTCTCACATACTTCCCAGTGTAAGTAAAAATAAACACGAACTTTCAGAAGGGAAATGCATTAACATGCATATATCTTTCAATCAAAAATAAATTTAAAAATTAATTAAATTTAGTTGACAAGTAAAAATAATATGTGTGTGTGTGTGTTTATTGTGTACAACATGATATTCTGAAATATGTATATATTGCAGAATGGTCAAGATATTTAACGTATCCGATACCTCACATACCATGTTTTTTGTGATAAGAACACATAAAATTTACTCTCAGTGATTTTTAAGAATAAAATACATTGTCATTTTTTGATGGAAATTTATCACAAACAAATGATTAAGTTGCAGAAAATTATTCTACTAATAGATTTTTACTACAAAATTATGTTTCTTCTATAAATAATCTATATATTTATTTATTTCAAATGAGGACAAACTAATGTTCAATAGTAAGGAATAGGTTAAATAAATTTTGGTGGCATCCTCTATAAAATATGTCCATTAAAAACAATAGTTAAGGGGCTGGTGAAGTGGCTCAGTGGAAGAGCACTCATCTAGCATGCTTGAGGCCCTGGGTTCAACACCCAGTAATGCAAAAAAAAAAAAAAAAAAGGAAAGAAAAAGATAGTTATATTTACTGGCACAAGAAAGTAAGCAGTGCCAGTTGTCAAGATCCAAACTCTGGAGTCAAGACCAAGGGGCTTCAGCAGAGGCCTGTTTACTGACTTGAACAAAAAGGCAGTATAGCAACATGTTGAGTTAGGGCTCTGAGCTGAGCCCGGTGGTGTGCACCTGTTACCCCAGATATTTGGGAGGCTGAGGTACAAAGACTATAAGTTTGAGGTCATTTAGTGAGACTCTGTCTCAAAATAAAATTTTTAAAAAATCTAGGGATGTAGCTTAGTGGTAGAACATACCTGATCCCTGGTACCACCATGAAGGAAGGAAAGAAAGGAAGGATGGTCGGATTTGGGTGCCGGCAACAGATCATTATGTTGCAGCTAAAATTTTCTAGCTGCTCAGCTGCCTATCTCTAAAGTAGGAAAAACAATCATTCTTGCCTCACAGAATGGATTCTAGTTTAAATAATGTAATGCATGCACTGAGAATAGGACTCAGCATGTGAGGAGAGCTCAGTGCATGTAAGGCATTATAGTTTTATCATTGTCATTTTCTTCAATGTCCCAAGCTAGATGCTTCCAGACTTGGGCTTAATTTCATCCTCTGTCAATCACTTGCCATATGGCTTCACTTCCTCTCTCATTGAGCCTGATTTTTAGTCTATGAAATAATAATATAGTAAAACCTATTTCATAGGGTTGTTTAGAGAATTTAATGATATAATGAATGTTAAAAACCTAGTGAAGTTTCTGGTACATCATAAATGCTCACTATGTGATTCTATTATTGTTTTTACTACATTATGAAGTGAAAATTTACATTGAAGAAATTTAGCATGATCCCATTTTAAAAATGTGTGTATATGTTTGAACATGGAAGAAAAGAAGATCTATAAGGGAGCTATAAACATCTATTGGTAGAAGAGTTAACTTATTTTCCCTTTTGCTTATCAACATTTTATACTTTTTCCATAGTGACATTAGAACACACATGCACACATGCATGCACACACACACACACACACACACACACACACTTTTATATATAAAGAATGTTTTAATCAGCAAAATTCCAAGTGATCTGGATTACATTCACACAGATGTAAGATTATGGGGAGCAGGAAGGACTAGAGTGATCAGTGGAGTATGGAGGTAGGAGATTATGAAATGTGAAAAGCAAAGCTTCCTTGCTGTCTTGGAGGTAGTAAAGACTTGGCGGACAGATCATTCTCCTTTCAGAGTTCTGCAATGCTCCATGCCATGCTTAGCTCCTCATTCTACTAGATATGGTGCATCTGCTAACCTTCATTTAGCATTTATTTCCTACTTTTATTTCTTCTATCTTTTTAGATTGTTTACTTTCTGGTTAATTTCTAATTAGTATGCTACATAATCACTGTAAAGAGGACACTGATGAATGCCTGTTAGGTAGATTTTACCAAATTATTCGGTACATAATTTTTAAAAAGGGAAAACAGGCTTCAACCTACAACTGCCCTTTGAAAGACTTCTATGTAAAAACCAAAGACAAGGGCACCTCTGGATAAAGAGATATGCTATGACAATCAAATATTCATTTTGGAATAAACTAAGGAACATTTCCAACATGGTAGCCTAAGTTGGCTTAGAACCATTTAAGAACTACAAATAGCAATATTTAAATATATTCTCTATATCTGTCTCTTTCAAGTGAGAAACCTGAGTTTGACTTAAATCTAAGCTTCTTCATGCTTAGATAAGTAATTATTAGCCATGTGATCTTTGGCAGATTACTTAGTTTCTGATTGTCTTCAATTTAAAATGATGACAAGTCTAGTCTGTCTCACAGGGCTATTGGGAAAAGGAAATGAATAAATGAATATAAAACATTTAACACATTGTTTGGGCTACAGAAAGATCTCAATAAATATTGTCAAATTGTTAACCGTAAGGGGGAAAGCAGGGAGGTGTATGAAGTCTTGCCTATATTCCAATTTCATAGTTCCATCTTATGAAAAGACTAGAATTACCGATTTTGAAAAAAAAAAATTGGATTACAAAGATATTGTAGCTAAAATCACTGAGGAGAAAGAAAGGTGGCCTCCCTTTCCCCTCACCATGGAAACCAGCCCTAGAAAACCCAGATGCACATTTTCTGATTTGGCTCCAAGAAAATAGCCCTTAATATGGAAACGCAGGAAACCTGGGGAATAAACTCATCAGGCCAGCAGGCTTGGATATTCCCTTTTATCATTTAAGGGCCATGGGTTTTAGGTGGAAAATTGGCTGAATTATATGTGTCCATTATTTTAGAAGTGACAAAAGAGATTTATTCCCCTCACTGGTAATTGAAAGCCATGAAATTTCCAGTTGTTCAAATATCATATAAAATTAGGTTCATTTTTTTCCCCATACATTTCTTTCTCTTGACAGTAAGGTGGCCCTTCATAGGGAGGTTCTCTTATCCTCCTTCTCTCATTACACAGAGGAAGAGAATGAAATATTATAAGAAATTGGCATGGTCTTTGTCCTTGATTTTTAAGTTCACCTATTTTGCCTGTGAGTTACTCTAACTGTATCTGGCTACTCAACTGATTCCACCCTGACTTAACCCAACTAGTTTAAACAGCAACATCATCTGCTTTAACATCTTAATTAGGAAAGAAGCAGGAGTAGCTCTTAGTCTCTGTCATCTGCCAGCAAGGGTGCAGTGACTGAGCTCCTGTTTTCTGGATAGGGGCTCCTCTAATGATAGCTCAGTCTATGGCCTAAAAAACTGTAATCGTTTTTTTTGCTCATTACAGCACTGACTTCAGACAGTTTAAAATGCACTCCTGTGAATTTTGAAACTAATCTCATATCTGAATCAAAGCTCCTCCACTCACTCCACAGGACTGGATTCTGCAGCTTTGGTGTGGAGATGGAGGATGGATCTGGTGCTACACATCAGTTTCC